GACCCTCTCCGAGTGTAGGAAGGGATGGGACGAAACGGCGGGACGCCCTTCTCTTACTGACTGGAGCGGGCGGCAGAGCGGCCCCGGGCCGGGACTCACGCTCGGCCCCTCTCCTCCCGGACGGACTCGCAGCCCCCTTCGGCACTGGCTTCTCTGAGCTGCTGGGGAGCTCCGCGCTCGGGCAGAAAGACTAGCTTGTCCTGATTTTCTCCCCCACCCTCCCAAGAGCTGTAACTATCTTGGCTTTGGAGAACTCTGGGGAGTTGGGAGCGGAGGTCAGGTGTCTTGTCAACACCTCCGGCGGGGAGATCCGGGTTTCCGGAAACTCCGGGCGCCGTTGCCCTAGCGCGAAGGCCTAGCCTCGCACCCTCCCCGCCAGCCCCCCCAGCGGCCTGGCGGGGCCTGCGCGATCGGCCTCGCCTGAAAGGGGCCCCGGGGACACCCACGGCGGCCCCTCGGCCTCGGTGAAGGTGGGAAGCCTGGGAGAAGCCACAGAACGGCAGGGTCCGCTTCGAGCCGTCGTCTCTCAGCGGGGACCTTGGGATGGATCACCCAGCCTGGGAGCTTTCTGCAAGTAGAAAGGTGCTTGGCGAGGCCACTTATGTGCCACCTTCAGAGAGGTGGCCTGGAAACCTGTGCGGTCCACAGAGGCTTGTAAACCAGACGGCTCTTCCCCCCAGCTGGTCTCTGGGGGGGTCCCTACAGCCCTGCCCCCGGGCTGAAGGCGTGGCAGGGCCTGTTCTGCAGCCAGTAGGACTGACCTGAGGCGTCACCACACCCAGAGCCACTCAGATGGCGCTGTGCCCCGCCCAGTCTTTGATCTGCTGTAGGGACCCTGCCCAGGGTGGGCACCCCGGGGTGTCCTGGCACTGCCAGGAGTGGTTTCTTACACTCAGCAGCTTCTGGGCACCACAAAGCACGTCAGAAGGCTGCTCCTGCCTCTAGCCCCACCCTGCCGCACCCTTTTTCCTCTCCTACCCTGGCGTCTTCCCCTTCCAGTCTACTTCGTAGTTGCCTCGAGCTGCCTTGGCTACACCAAGATGTGGAGCTGGGAGGACCCACGGACCGCCACAGTACCTGTGTGCCCCTGGCTGCCCCTGTGGTGTGGGCAGCAGGCTGAGGGGAGACCCCCACAGCCACCCCACACTGTTCAGTCTGTTGCCTGCTGGCTTGCAGTCTGCCATGCCACTCGCCAGCGTGCCACCCGTCCCTGGCTCCAAGCTGCCACCTAAAACAAATGCCTCCCTCCAACCGCCTCTGGATTTAGAGGAGGCAGTGACTTCGCCCTCTTGCTCCTCGTGAGGAAGCAGGGAACCAGAGAGGGTGGCTTGCCCAGGATCTGGAGGCTAAGCCATTTTTGCAAGTCCTGGGTCGTTTCCTGTCCTTCCTCCTGTCTCCACCACAGGGAGGGAGGTGAGCAGTTTGAGATAGAGCCTCAACCAGAGGAGACGATAGCCTGGGGCCGTGTTACTTCTGCTTGTGCAGTGCTGTTAAGTCTGCATCTCTGCCCTCCCCAGTGCCCTGCAGAGAGCCAGAACAGGACATACTATGTCTGTTTCATGGGCTGATTGTAAGTCTGGCCCACAAGACGTTAAATGACTTGTGACAGACTAGTATTGGATATAAATTAGTTTACCCAGCAGGGTTTGATAGCTGGATGAGGATAGAAGGGTGGTATGAAACTCCCAAAAGAAAAAAAAAATTGAAACCGGGTTTTACTGCAAATTCCAGGTTGGCCTTGAACTAACTCACTAGATAGCCCAGGTAGGGCTACAATTTACAGCCATCCTCCTTCCTGCCTCAGCCTCCCCAGTGCTGGGATAACAACGTGGCCACACCCCGCCCTTAAATTATCTTTTAGGATAAACTATGATCTAAGGAACTGCGGAATTATTACGTTGGCATCACTTCTTTCTCCCTTGAGACCAGCAGTTTATAAACTTGGCAGTTGGCACCTAACAGAGTTGTGGGGGGTGCCAGTCCCAGGGCAAGGCTGTGGCTGGGGGGCTCTGGGCCTCTTCCCTGGCCCTGCCCTCGTCTCCATGGCAGCTGGGTTTGTGCACCCTGCCCTCCCCACATGGGGCGCCGGTGCCCAGGGCCAAACCAGCAATCAGTCTGTTTTTCCAACATCCCCAGAGCAAAGGACTCGGCTCTGTTTTGGTTGTTTCTGCATTCCCTCCCTCAGCTCTCCCTGCCTCCCCCTTGCCCCGCCCCCCAGTAAAAAGGTTGGGAGGGAAAGCGCCTTCCTGATGTCAGAGTAACAGGAGGATTCCGTGAGTAAGGTAGGAAGCCAGGCTTAGGACGGGCTGGACTTTGTCCAGTTCTGTCCCCTCAAGTCCTAAGCCTGCTGGCTATCTTGAGAGAGCAAGTCCCTGCCTCACACTCTCACCCACAGATGAAATTGGGGATCTCTTTCCAGGAATAGTGTCACCTGGGCCTCCCAGGGGCTGCTCAGAAACACAGACTTGCACTGGCATTGGGGGTGCCTGTTTCTGCATCCAGCTCTGTCCCCAGCTCACCGAGAAACCTTGTTGTGCAGGCCACTTTTCTGCCCTAGACCTCAGTTTCCCCACCTGTAAGCAAGCAGACTCAAAGTTTCCCTTTTAAGCTCGTCTCCAACTCTAACCCCACCCCGGCACCTACGACAACAGCCCAAAGTGGAGAGGGGGAGGGCAGTGCAGCACGAATTTGGTCTGTTGGGCTGGTGCACAGGTCTCAGCCTGTTCTGCCACTGCCCTTAGTGTCTCTTCCCGCTCTCTGTCTCCATCCGTGCCAGTCCACACCGAGACTTTCCACCTGGGGTTCCTTGGGCGCTGCCAGTGTGCCTTGGGCAGGTGTGCGGTAGAGTCTGATGGGTGGAGCCCCCACCCTGCAGGCTCACACCCTGGGCAGCGCAGCAGCAGACCAGAGAGAGATCGGCGTCCATCCGCGGCTGCTGCTCCCTGGTAGAAAGCGGTTTGGGCTACGGGGAAGGTGGAAGCTCCTCTCTCTGAGAGGTGTGGAAATGTAAGCCACAAGTGTGGCCAGGAGCACACGCCCAGTCCATGCAGCCTCCCTTACCCGCTCTTCCTGCGCCGGGTCTGTTTTCCTCCACGGGCACAGGAGCTAGCGCTTCTGAAGGAAAGCCACGTGGCAGAGGACGGGAGGCCTCAGGGTCAGGGTCTGAGCAGGCAGGGACAGTGGAGCGGCAGTGGCAGGGCTTGGCCCCTCTCTGCCTACCGGCTGCCCACACGCAGGAGCTGTGGCTTGAAAGTGGAAGCTGGGCTGAGGAAGTAGCTGGGCTGTTGGGTGAACTGGCTTTCCACACCCATGCCGCCCGGGTGCCTGGCCGCTGAGGCAGCGCTGCTCCTGCTAGAGCCGGGGGTTGTGGGCAGAGGTGAGCCGAAGCCAGTAGGGTTTCTCTCCTGCCCACATCTTTGGTTTCTCCCCACCTCTGCGATGGTTGCTGGCAGCAGAGATCCGGGCTCCTGCTGGGTGGTGGCAGTGACTTGGATTCCTGTTCACATACACACGCACACACACTTGCACACTCTACTCTGTTTTCAAGTGGCCCACAGCACCTTCCAAACCTCACTTTCTGGTCTCAGAGGAAGCAGCTGCCGGTTCAGACCGAGTTTAGAGGGGCCAGCACACTTGCTCCCCTAAATAAATGCTACTCCTGGCTTTGGGACTGCTGGATGTGACCCCTCCCTCTTGCCACAGAGCTGCATTTGTTGTTTGCTTTCCTGTTTGGGTTCAGCTTTATAAGGAGGTGTGGCTTCTGGGATCCGTCGCCAGTTTGGAATTTAAAGCCTGGGATTTTCTTCTGTAGAGTATGGGCTTTGCCTGGGCGTGTGCGCCAGGCAGCAAGCGGCCCTGGGGGTCATGGGTTTGTGGGCTCTGCCTGTCAGCACAGGCCATGCACAGACCTGAGAGGAGCTGGGAAAGGAAGAGCCCGGCAGTTGGAAGAGGCTGCATCCTCCTGGCCCAGGTTGGGTCACGGGGACTCTCTTGGACCTACCTCAGGTTTTTTGGATCAAAGCCTTATCTCTTAACATCCAGAGCAGCGGCTTCATTGTTAATATGCCCCAGGACCTGGGCTACCAGGTGAGATCGTTTTGCAGTGGAGAAAATTCTAGTGACAAAAAAGGCTACTCAATACATTTTGTAAGTTTGTGTTTTGGAGGGCTTGCCTGCTTTGTCCCGTGGAAAAAGTCAGGCTGGTCCAGGGACATTTTCATTTTCCATCAAGTGATGGCACGCAGCTGTGGAAAGCAACATAGCCTGTCCCCCATGACAGAATTCTGCAGTAGTCCATCCATCCAGAAATCTCTCCCCCCATCAAAAACCACTTCGCTGTGAATAGTTTTTAAGTATTGTACACTGTCATTGTAGATCCCCTTAACCTTTTTAGGGAATCCTGTGAAATATGGATCTGCCCCCAGAAAAATGTTTACCCTTTTTTTTTTTGGCTTCCTTCCTGGAGTTCCATAGACCCCCTCCATATTAGTTTTTCTTCCTCAGTTTCCTGGCGATTCCTGCTCTGTCCTGAATCCCAAGTTTCTGCCCTAGGAAACAGGTTGCCTCAATACTGCTTGGGGGCAATGTGGGGACTTTGAGGAAGGCATCAGAAGCCCTAATTTCCCATAATTTGCCTCCCAGACTGGAAGCCGCCTCCCCATCCTTTCTTGCTGAATGGAAGCTTAATCATTGCCCAAGGAGTGGCTTTGACTCTCACTTCATTTAATGAGTGTTCTGTGTTTCTAGTCCACACAAAAAACCCAGCTTTATGAGCTTCCGGCCAAGGTTTGCCTGTTGGTTGAGGTTTTCCTTGGATCAGTGATGTCTCTGTTCAAGAAGAGCCGAACTGTCTCCTCCTTCCCTCCAGATAGAGCCTGGAAGGTTCACCCTGGCCTTCTCTCCTTTCCTCTTGTCTTGAGGGACCTGCCTGGGAATCCAGACTCCTGGTGAAGTGACAGGGACAGACCACTGTCTGACTTGGAGAGTGGCCTGGGTTCATTGATCCCAAAGAAGATAAGACCCCTCCGGCTGAGGGGCAGCTCAGGAGTAGAGCGCTTGCTTGGCCTACACAGGCCCCAGATTCCATCGTCAGTGCTACAGAAAGGAAAAGAAACAAAAGTCTCTGAGTGGAGAGGTCTGGGGACTGTTGCTGATTTAGTGAAGAAAAGGGTGTAGCTCAGTGGGAAGGTCCTGAATTAGATTCCCAGTACTAGTACAAAAAAAAAGGAACCAGAGAGCAAGACACTAAGTCACTCTTAGCCCGCTTGCCACACCCATTGGGAGCAGACTCTGGCTGCTAGGAACTCAGCCCTTCCCAGCCTTCCCTGTGTACACCCAGGTTCCAGGGAACATTCAGACCCAGGGCCATACTCCTGCCAGCTCCTACAGCCCAACCAAGTTCTTTGGTGTCCAGAGGCCGTCCTCCCTCATCCCCAGCTCTTCCCTGCATGGGAACATCCAGATGGAGAAGCAGCACCATGCCTGTGTGCTTCCCGGAGCAGCTCCTTGACTTCGGGTTAAAAATACCATAAAGTATATTAGACAGCTTTATTAAATCCAAAACAGATTTCTGTGGCATTCTAGTTTTTGTTTGTTTGTTTGTTTGTTTCCCCACCTGCATGGCTTGGATCTGCAGCGTGGAAAACTATAACATGGGTCAGTTAAGGCTCTTGTGCATCTCCCAGTGCAGCTCACTCCTCAGGAGGGTGTGCACCTGGAGGCCCCACCTGCCCCCACAGGGCTTCCTGTCCCACTGCATGTGGGCACCCTCCTCCTGTAATGGTTTCACTGGGATGGGGACTCTCTTTCCACTCTCTGTTTTCCCATACTCCAAGACAAGTTGCCCAGTAAAGTCTCCCTTAGAGACCCAGAAAACACATTGCAAGTGGCAGTTGGATTCTCTTCCAGTGCCAAGAGGGTCCTTTCATCCCTCATGACCTGGGAGCCTCAGGAGCTATAGGTCTCTGGGGCTGGGGCTGGAGCTGTAACACAGGCCTGTGCAGTGCCATCTTGTCCCTTTGCTGGCAGGGTGGGGCTCTGGGTCCCACTCTGGGGCTGTTCCTAGAAGGGCCAGCGGACACTGGCCCTGGGAGGGGCCACTGCAATGGGTAGCAGCAGCAGCAGTCAGGAAGAGAAGGAAAATGAGCCAAGTTGCTCTGCAGGGTCCACTCCCCAGAGCTCTGCGCCTGCCAGCGGAGAAGGGTGGGACACAGCCCTGGGCCCTTACTTAGGCCATGCTTGTTGGCTGGGAGCTCCTTGAGCCACAAGGACAGCACAGGTGCCCTTCTTCCCTCACACATGACACTCTTGAGGCCAGCAGGGATGGAAGGCGCTACTTTGAAATGGGACCAGATGTGTTTAGGAGGGAGGAAAAGGAAAAATTCTGGCTTGAGAAAAAAAAAGACACCAAAAAACCAGCAATCCCAGGGTTAGGAGTATAGCCCCGAGGGGCAGGGGGAGAAAGACCAGCAGTTCCACATAAAGATTGAGAATTCAGGTTCACAGTCGCAGTTCTGAGTTCACATTCAACTCTGCTGTTTATTTGAAGTGTGATCCTAGGCAAGCAGCTTCACTTCTGTGCTCTAGGTTTCTCCTTGGAAAAAGTGGAAGGTGATACATTCCCTTCCCGGTCGATTGTGAAAGTTAAATAGTTCAGGTGAAGAGCCGAGAGTGGGTGTGAACACAGGTACTTTAGTGCCTGCTATCTGATTATGAAGGGGCCTGCAAGGGAGGTGGGATGGTGGCAGAGGGCCAGCTGGTGATGGCAGAGCCCTCACCCCTCCTGCTGGCTCGGGCCCGCCGCCCCACATGGCATTGCTTAAGAGCTATAAAAGCAAGGGCATCGCCCACTTCCGGGGCAGCTCCCCCAGCAGAGCGCGAGAGTAAGCAGCAGTGTGGGTGTCTGGTCACCAGACGTCCAGCAGACACACGATGGAAAACAAATGTGTGGCATTCTGGAACCTAAAGCAAAACATCCCCAGACAGTGCCCCCCATCAGATGATTTTGGTTAAGACCAGAATTCCTGCTTTCAGCAGAAGAGGGATTGATTTATGGGCTGGCCAGTGTGTGCTGTGCGTCTGGGAAGCAGGCAGTAGAAACTGGAATGGAGCTTTCTTGTTCAGAGCGGTTACCTTGGGCCTCGCATCTGAGGCCGGACTCCAGCCCCGCACTCCATCCCCAGCCAGGGCCTGTCTCACCCCTGGAAGGATTTCTCCACTTGTGAACCTGTCCAGACTGGGTTTGCTGAGGAGAGGCTTTGGAGGCCCTGCAGCCCCTGCCACACCCTGAAGAGAAGGCCAAGCTACCGCCCTTCTCTGTGCACCACTGTGCCATGGGTCTGCCCACTCCGTCACTCTGCCTGTTGTGTGGTCGTGTCTCTCGCTCTGGCTGTCTGCCAGTCTCCTGGTCTCTGGGAGGGTCCTGGCCACCTGGCCTGTAAGGAATCGAATGCTCACAGACCTTACAGTCCAACAGCCCCGCTGTCCTCTCCCAGGGAGCCTCCACAGTGGCCAGCTCTGTAACATAGTGGCCCCAAGCATGCTGTTGCCTTCTCCGGAAGGGCAGGCACTACCGGGGCAGATAAGCCCCTAGAGGCAGAGGAGCAGTGCTGCCTTTGGTTTTTCTGTGTGTCTGGGTGCTGCTCTAGAAAGGAGCCCAGGCCTTCACACACTAGGCAAGTGCTCCACTTCTGGATGACATCTGCAGCCCTTCACTTGACTGAGACAGTGTCTCACTAAGTTGTCCGGCCTGGCCTCAAATCCGCAACCCTCCTGTTTCAGCCTCCCAAGTCGTTGAGATTATCAGTGTGCTCCACCTTGCCCAGCCAGTGGTGGGATGGGTAGAGAAGTGGGCTGCCCCTTCCCCTCCCTCATGGACTCCTCTGGATGGGCCGCATCAGGGAAGCTGGAGGGGTCCTAGTCACCAAGTCAGACCACGCAGTCATGGCGTTTTCCAAGCTGCCGTCCTCCCTCAGGTTCCTGCTCCCACCTGGCAGTGAGGGCACGGGCAGTGAGTTCCCCACAGACCTGCCTGCTGTGTGCACCCTGCCTCCGGCGGGCAGCCCATGAGTTGCCTGCAGATCAAGGCCATGAGAAGATGACAGACAAATACCATACATGTGGCATGCAGGTCCTCAGATAGTCACTGTTTGGCACTTTAGTGGCCATGATTTGTTTTTCTTTCACCCGTCAGTGGAGAGATGCTCAGAGACAGAAAGCTCTACCCAAGTTGAGTCAGCACTGAAGCTGCATAACCCTCACCCTGACCAGCAGCCTCTGCGCAGTTTCCATTTTGTTTGTGACCCTGGGAGTTAAACCCAGTAGCACTGAGCTGCACGCTAGCTTTATTTTATTTTTGATTTTGAGACGGCTTTTCCCGGTCATTAAATGACCCAATCCATCCTACCTCAGCCTCCTGGAGAGCTGGAATTCTGAGAATGACTGCCATACTCGTGGGTCTGTACATTTCCTTGTTTAAAAAGAAATTTATCCTTTCTGGTGGTTGGGGACATACGGCCCAGTCTCTGAAAGTGTTCTTCCCAGGCTTGAGTAGTGCCGACCACACGTGGAGGGGCCTCCTATAGCCCACAGCCCCCAGGCCCTGTGGGAGCGGTGCCCATGAGCTGCATGGAAGCCAAGTGCAGGGCCCGACATGAACCTTCCTGTGGCTTTTCCCTTTCTTCTCCCTTCTTGCCTGCATACTTGCCCACATGGTAGTGACCCAGGCACAGACCCACAGCCGTGGGGTGCATGCCTCTCCCCAGGCATCCTAAGGAGGACAAGCTCCACTCTGTACCCCGTCACCCTGAAGTGGGAAGTGCCCCTCTCACAGACAAACTCCGCTGGAGGAAGTGCACACCTTCCCTTGCGGGCCTCCTGCCTTTCTTTCCGCAGAGGCTGTGGAAAGCTGGCCTCTGGCCCTTGGGCTGGTGCAGGGGTTAAGTGAAGGCCTGGAGCTTTAGCTTCCTCAAGTTTGAGTGCACTTAAGCTTCCTCAGTGGGATTTGTTCAGACACAGACAGCCAGGCCCGCACCCACCTGGAGTGTCCGCTCAGTCAGGAAGAGGGCCAGTTCACCTGTCTGCGAGTTTGGGGGCTGTACTGCTTCGCTGGTCTAGACAGGGTTTCCTGGGCTACTTTTGGAGACACAGATTTGAGTGCTGCCATGTGATGACAGCAGCTCAGCAAAGGCTCAGGCAATGTCTGGAGGGGAGAGGAGATGGT